ATTTCTTAAAATGTTAATTAACAGAGATATTTTGCACATCAGTTTTAATTCTTCAGGGCCATAGATATAAGCTCAGCAAGTGTGGTCTGAGTCTGCTCTAGAATGGTTTGTGTTTTTGATTTGTTTGCTTATATTTTTGTTTCTGGTAATGGGAGGAGCATGTGCTATTGAGTGAGAGGACTATAGTCCACATCTGGACCCAGTGGTCCCACTGTAAGCTGTGAAGCTAGGACTATTCATTTAATAGCTCTGAAACTCTATTCTTTCATTTAGAAAGTGTGAATATTGTCAAATATTCATTAGGACCTTTGTAAATTTGTAAAACAACAAATTAATATATATAATATTTATTTATTATATATAATAACTACAGGATAGATCCAAAAGATGTGTATGTTGTTTTTTACCAACCTAATTCATACAGCTGGTTCATTTTGACTGGTTGCTACTTTTTCCTAAGTATAACGAGCACAGCAAAACAAAAAAACAACAAAAAAAGTGTATTGAAAAATCTGGGTAATTAACCTTTTTGTTTTATCTCTTCTTTGTATTTTGCTTAATTCCCTTATATATCTGAATGTATTTATAGCCATTTAAGATATGCTAAGAACCTGAAAATTCAATTACTTATATAAATGTTTTACACTTAAATTAATTCTTAATTCCCTTATATATCTGAATGTATTTATAGCCATTTAAGATATGCTAAGAACCTGAAAATTCAATTACTTATATAAATGTTTTACACTTAAATTAATTCTAGATATTTGGAAGGAACATGGGTATAAAAACATGAAATATAATCAAAGGTGAACAGAATAGCCTTAGTTATTTATCTTATAAACTAGTGATTTTCATAATTTATCTTTTATGTTGAGATAACTAAGCCAGTAATTCAAGGTCCATAATGCTGAGAGTCATATAAGCTAACCAGCCATTTTTGGAAAGTGCTCTATGGGAATGTAGCAATTTACATGGCACATTTTCCCAAGGAATTCAGAGCAGTTCATGACCCTTATGTAATTTGTGGGGGGTAATATACATTTGTCATTATTTGAAATCCCAAAGTCTATGAATTGAATCACGAAGTCTCTTTATAGACTTTTCTGATTCAGGACAGCCAACCCTAACCAGATCTGGAACGCACAATACTACTAATGGTTTTTGTCAGCAGGAAATTCAAAGACAGCACACCTAGAAGAATTGTCATTTCACAGTGAGCCAATTGTCATAAACTGTGTGCTCCGTGGGTTTCAATGGAACTGAAAACCCCAGCTCAATTTTCTGCTGCACAAATGTTTAAACTGAAAAAAGTAACGAAGCGCACAAACAATCCTTTTACGTGATGTACATTTTTGTTTATCCTCTTGTTGGGTTGTAAGAATGGGAATTCTATATAGAAGGAAAGATATAAAAATGAGTTCAATCGTGTTTGGTAGTATTTTCTACACTGTGTAGTGGGCTGTGTCTAATATACTTTATTTGATAGGAATTATAATCATCCTTTGTTCAGGAAAAGACTAATTCAGGACTTTCTATAATTGGTCTACTTGTACTCTTTCAGGAAAACTACATGCCATGTATTTATACGTTAAAGCAACAGGTACTATAAAATTTTGTTGATATTGTGTGTGGTAGTAGTTCTCAGCTTTTTGATACTTCAGCCTTTGCTTCTACAAAGCATTATGCTGGTCTAGCTGTTTAGCAATAACTTTTGGTTATTATGGGCCTAGTTGTGGTAATTTTTAAAAATGGGCAGTATTCAGATTGCATATGAATTGCAGTCATAGAAAAAAATAAAAAATATTCTGCTATAGTCTGGGAGAAATTTTGTTAAATCATGTTATTATATGGGTTGTTAAGTTCTTTGGAGTCTTTTGAAGAGTGTCCAGGCTGTTTCCATGCTTTGTTTATATAGGGAAATGATTGGAATAAAAGCATGAACTGAACTATTCTTGAATTAATCCAAATGTTTATATTATGGCATTGATAGAAATTTTGTCTTGTTACTTGGATATCATGCAGTGTTTATGAGGATAGAAATTTTCTAGCCAAAATCTCACTCATGAAGTTCAGCTCTCCAACTTTAGAAATGATTGTTCTTTTTCTTCATGCATACATACTTGGCACAAACCTCAGTAAAGTTCGGCTCAGGTAAATGTATACAGATTATCATTCTGAATATGATTTTTTGAGGGGCATGATTGTAGCTTTTGTGTGATCAGCTACAGTAATTTTTACAGGATTTTTTTTTTTTTTTGCCTTTTGGGTTTTTACTAAATGTTTTTCTACTATGTTATTAATTTTCTGTAAAATATATTTATAGTGTCTCTATTCCGAAAGACAGAGCCAGAGAGAGAGAGAGAGAAAGCACGTGCTCTCCCCATGTAGAAGTGACAGTGGTACTGGGATGGTGTGATATACCAAACATTTCCTCTCAGTCCTCTTTCCTTTACTAAGCCCTACATTTTACAGAAGTGACTGTCAATAAAGTAAACCAAGGAGTAGATCTCTATATGCCTTAACAACATTTCAGTTTTGCAAAACCATAATAATTAATTCTTACACTAAATGTTATTGAAAAGTTGTTTGTTTTTTTTTTTTAATTGATTTATGGAGGGATTATGATGAGCCTCCTTAAAGAGGCTGGCATGCTACTTAGACTGCACGGAGTCACTGAGCAGATACTTAGTCATGCTATGTGCCCAGCACTCTGCTGGCTATTAAGAAGCCAATGATAAACAAAATAGACATGATCTCTGCCCAGTTATACAAATAAATTTCAACTTATGATGGATGCTGTGAAGGGCTTGAATCTTCTGGTTCACACACCTTCTCCCTGCCAGAAATCCGGGTGCAGAGGCAACCTTGTTTGCTTACTGGTCATGAAAATAAAGGAGGATCAATTGGAAGACCCTGATCCATAGTCAGTTGATGCCCTTTCTGAGTCTCCACACAGATTTAGAGGCGTATCTTCTTAGCAATCTTGACATTTTTTACATATATCTCTATTATAATAGGTCCCATGAGTTAGAATTTTTCTATTTCAATCTTCTGCAACTTAAACAGTAAGTCCTTGCAGTATAATGAAAAGCCTTTTTCATGTTGAATTGCTTCATATATATGAGATTTAAAGTGATGAATACGCGTGTTCATTCATTTATTCTTGAAAATATGGAAGTACATTTGAGTTTTTGTATATTTCTGTTCATTAATTTTAAATGCCAAATAAATTATTACTTTTCTACATCCATTAAATGGTGATAATAACCCTTATCTCAATACTTTATTGTGTAACTAAATGGGATAAAGTATATAACACATTTTAACATTATTCTAGATACACATGTAAAGTCTCAAGACATGTTAGATATTACCAATACTAAATAATACCACATTCTCTATCTAATTAGGGAAAATATTACAAATTTCTCTTAAAATTGCTTTTTTCACATAAAATTTTGGCTGTGACCACATATATGGGCACTTATGTATTTACAGATCTCTCAGTTGATTCTAGTTTTTCTGTATTTTTTTTCTGAGAATAGAAATTTTAAAAAAACTTTCATTCAATAGCTGCAAATAAATTAACTCAAAGGGGTTCAATTCTAGAAGGAAACTTACAAATTATCTTGCCTGATATGCTCATATTATGAATATATAACTGTAGGAACAAAAAAAATTTAAAAATGTATTTAGGCCACTTTGGTGGTAATCAGTTTATTAAATAATATCTCAAGTGCTAAATAATATTTGCTATATCCTTCTTTTCAGTGCTAGAGGATTCAGCAATACACTGTGTTTGCCACCAGAAGGTGCTAAAGGGAAATAAAACCAGCCTGTTTGAATGCTTTGTACTAGTATTTTACCATTTGCTCTTGGTGATGTCCTCTCTAGATAATTTCCTCCATTCAGTGATAGATTTTCATATGGTATCGATATCCTATCTATGAAAGTGTAAGGAGCTGACCATGGGGAAAAAAAGCAGGGAATAGAGAAGTCTTTAGAAATAACATTATATGAAATATTTGAGAACATAATATTCATGTAATTGAAGATACTGTATAAATTTTAAGTTTTACAATTTCCCTTAAAGTCAACTTGATAAAGAAAGTTTATGTTCTATGCTAATTCAGATGTCAAATCTTTCAAAAGTGAATTTACACTCCCTTTAAAATATGGTAGAACTGAGAATGTTGTGGAATGCATAATTCTAGAGTGAGTACATTTTATAATCTTGTCAGTAAATTCACTAACCTTAAAAGGTTTATTGTCGTTAAGCTTTCCTAAGTATAAAATATTACCAGGTGTCTGTGTGTATTTTCTTCACACAGTTTATTTCAAGATAGTTTAAGCATCTAGGAGATACTGGTATTAAACGTTTTTTTTTCCATCAAGGAATTCCCTTTTCTTTTCCATTTGGGAAATACAACATGCTTCCCAGATTCCAAATTTCACTGCTTAATTTTATGACTACTATAAAAGGATAAGAAGAGAATAAAATAGTAAAAGGGTAATAATATTATCCTGGGAGCTATTTCTGTATCTCCGTGCTAAAAGCCATCAAACTCTATAGACATTTTTAAAAGTTCTTTTGTAATATTAATATAACTGACGAAAATGTGTTCATTTATCATTTCAGCAGGAAAAAGTATAAAATTTCTCTGGATATTTTTCTGGACATTTGCCATCTACATTTTCCTTTAACATGCCTTTGCAAGTTAGATGGTTTCCCCATTTTTTTTTTTCTTTTAATTTCATGTGTTCAGTAAAAACGTGGCAGTCTTACGCCCAATGCTGCAAACTATACTGGTAAAGTAGGGTGGAAGTCAGAGAAAGTGGTAGTTGTAGAGAGCTTGCCTGCAAAACTGTGTCCGGAATTGGTGGGTTCTCGGTCTTGCTGACTTCAAGAATGAAGCCGGGGACCCTGGCGGTGAGTGTTACAGTTCTTAAAGATGGTGTATCCGCAGTTTATTCTTTCTGGTGGGTTCCTGGTCTGGCTGACTTCAAGAGTGAAGCTGCAGACCTTCGCGGTGAGTGTTACAGCTCATAAAGGCAGCGTGGACCCAAAGAGTGAGCAGCAGCAAGATTTATTGCAAAGAGGGAAAGAACAAAGCCTCATGGGGAGGGAGCTAAGGCCCAGCGAGAATTCGACCACAGCGCCGGTGGGCCGTCACTGCTAGGGAACCTGGCGCACCCTCTGCACCTGCTGGCCCGGGTGCTAAGCCCCTCACTGCTTGGGGCCTGTGGTGCTGGCTGGCCCTCTGCTCCAGTGCAGGGCCAGCCCAGCCCACACCCACCCTGAACTTGCGCTGGCCCACCAGCGCTGTGTGCAGCCTGGTTCCCGCCCGCGCCTGTCCCTCCACACCTCCCCTCAAGCAGAGGGACCGGCTTCGGCCTCAGCCTCGGACTGCCCAGAAAGGGGCTCCCACAGTGCCATGGTGGGCTGAAGGGCTCCTAAAGGACCGCCAGAGTGGACACATGAGGCCGCGGAGGCCTCAAGAGCGAGGGCTGCTAGCGTGTTGTCACCTCTCAAAACCATGCAAAATTTGGAAAGAAAAAGTAAGTGAACTCATCTATGCTCATGTAAACTATTGTATTAGTTTCCTGTTGTTGCTATAACAAAATACCACAAACTTGATGGCTTAAGACCACAAAAATATTTATCTTACTGTTCTGGAATTCAGAAGTCCAAAATGGGCCTCACTGGGTTAAATTTAGGTGTCTACAGGGCTGCATTCCTTCTGGAAGATCTGTGGGAGAATCCATTTCATTGCTGTTTCTAGCCCTAAAGGCTGTCCTGTCTCTTGGCTGTGTTTCCCTTCCATCTTCAAAGCCTCCAATGGCTGACTGAATCTTTTTCATGCTGCATCACTCTGAATCTGACCCTTGCGGCTCATCCTCCACACCGAAAGAACACTTTTAATTACATACGGCCTAACCAGATACTCCAAGACAGACTGCTTACTTTGAGGTCAACTGATTAGCAATCTTAATTTTCCCTTTCCATCTAATATATTCACAGGTTTGAAGGATTAGAATGTGGACATCTTTGGAGAGAGGATCATTCTTCTCCCTTCCACATCTACCTTCTATGCGTTTTTCCAGAGTTGAAATACTATATATGTAATTTGTTTAGCATTGTCCACCTACACTTGTGGTTTGAATTTTCTCATGTTAGTGCTTTTCAGTGAATATTTTTTCACAGTCACAGAACACTATATGGAAAGAATTTACCATCGTTTTCCTACCCATTCACCTAACATTGGCCACTTAACTTATTTAAAAATATGTATTGTATATGAGTTGTGTGACAGGTGCCCTGCAAATAAATGGAATTTTAGTCATTGATAAGACAAAGTCTCTGCCTTTGGGGGAACTAATGGGAAAGAGAGGAAGAAAGAAAGTAAGGGATTAGTCAGAGTATAAATTTATTAAAATTCTGATGTGGGCATGACAGTGGAGAACAGGTTACCATAAAAATGGAAAGAATATTTCTTAAATGGAGAGTCAGGCATGGTTTCCCTAATAAAGTGACATGTTTGCTGGGGCTAGAGGGTGAAGAGATTTATCCACTTTAGAAGCCAGGGAAAGAGTGTTTGAGGCAAAACAACAAAAAGCAACAATAACAACAAAAAGAACAAGAGTAAAACAACAATAACAACAAGCAGAACACGAGTAAAGACCCAACGTCAGGAAGCTGCTTGGCTCAGTGGATGAGTATGAAGTGAGACAAACTGGCAGGTGTTTGGTAAGAAAAATGGCTCAGGATGAAGACAGAGAGGTGAGAAAAAGCCATCTCATATAAGACTTCGTATGCCAAGGTAATAATAGTGGATTTCATGTTAGAAACAAGGAAAGCTATAGAAGAATTTTAATCAAAGGAGAAACACAATATGATTGTATTCAAAATGATCCCTCTGGCTATAGCACTTCCTCTCAAACCCTTCTAAAGTATATACAGCAGAAGGAGAGATGAGGAGGTGGGGACCATATTGAGAAATATTCACAGATTTGTAGATAGAGGAGATGGTCAGGATGGTGGGAGCCACTGAAAGGTTGGTGATGCCATGATTCCATTTACTAGGACTAGTATAGACTGAAAGAAAGCTGTTATAGTAGGAGGACTGAGTACAATTTTGGACGCATTATATTTCAGAGGTTTCTGGGTCATAAACATGGAGGTTCCAATGAGAAGTTTATTAGTATAGTCAAGGCCTGATGTTTCCTGTGGACTGGAGCTTTATCTGTGGAAGCTTTGTAGACAGCAACCATAGGCATGGAGAAAACTAAAAAGGAAAAAGGGAAAAGGTTGCTTCTTATTTCAGCTCTTAAGAGGAACAATTTTTTAAAATTGCATGAATCATTGACCCCTTTTTGTATCATTTAGAACATTACCAAGTCGAGGGTATAAATATTTTAATGTTGAAATGAAGCTTAAATGACAAACAGGCAGACAGATTTAAGGAAGGATATTCCAGGGAGACAGAATAACATGGGCAATGGCCAAGAAACATGGAGACGCACATTGTTCAGCAGAGTTTAGAAGTGTGATATGACAAGGCCCAGGTTCTAAAAATTCTGTTCTAAAAATTTTACACTTATTAAATCAACGAGTCTGTGAGGTAATTACTATAATTACCTCATTTTATAGATGAGACAACTGAGGCACTAAGAAGATAAGTAGCTTTTGCCAGTTATATTGTTAGGAAATTGTGCTAGAATTCAAGCCCAGGCAGGCTGTATTACATAATGGACAACTGCTATTGCCAAGTACTCTTCTAATTACTCTCATTTAGTGGTGACTGTTTCCCTTTTCATCCTAATGAAGTCTGCCAACATTATCCATCCCCACTGCTATAGGAGTGGGCAAAACACCCAAGCTGGCCTTATCAGTATTTTTTTTAGAGGTTTTAAAGTTGGAAAAAAAGAACAAAATATTTCTGCTCCTCTGATAGCAAAGCTAGTGAAATGTGCAAATGGCTATGGTTCCAACCTAGTAGACATAGCCATGGTGAATTTGTAAACTTAACCTACTGAGAGAAGCAGAGATGAGATCCAGTGAGCCTCCTGGTGGTACTTAAATCCCCAACTCACTCCAGTCCTGTTGGGGCAAGACTTCCTTTTCAGCAATTTGGTCATGTGAATCACAAAATGCCTAAGCCTGTCTGAGTTGGTTACGATGATTTGTGGTCAAAAGTGTTTTGACTAATATATGGCTGATTTATTGCAGTTAAAACAGCAATTGGCATGGGTAGACTTGTGTTTAAGAAAGGTAACACTTGCAAGAGTGTGAAAAGTGCAAGACTGGAGACAGAAAGAATAATTGGACTATTTCTGTAACTCCAGTGAATAGTGAAGAAGTGGGCTAAAGCATCAGCACTGAGGATGCTTTAGTTTACTTCTTCAATATTTAGTCCACTTCTTCATGTTCTCCACTGAGGAAGTGAAGAAAATGATATAAAACACGTCAGTATGGTAATACTGATTGAATTTTGTTACTGGATGGAAAGGGTCAGAGTGAGGGAGGAAATGCACAGGTTTACAGCTGGAGAAGTATGGTAGATAGAGTATCATTTAGGCAGTAATAGTTTGAAGGTGGTAGAGGAAATGATGAATCCAATTTTACTTATCCAATGGTAGATATCATCCAATTTTACATATAAGTGATGTCCAGAACACACTTATATACAGTTGACCCTGGAATAGCATGGGTTTGAACTACACAGGTCCACTTATATATGGATCTTTTTTCAACAAAAGTTATACCAAGTATACCTGCCTCTTCTCCTGCCTCCCCTTCTACCTGCTTCACTTCTGCCTCTGCTACCCCTGAGACCCCAAGACCAACCCCTACTCATCCTCCTCCTCAGCCTACTCAGCGTGAAGGCAATGGGGATGAAGACCTTTATGATAATCTGCTTCCACTTAATCAATAGTAAATATATTTTTCTATTTCTTGTGACTTTCTTGACATTTTATTTTTGTTGTAAGAATACAGTTTATAATACATCTAACATGCAGAATATATGTTAATTGGCTATGTTATCAGTAAGGCTTCCAGTCAATGCTCAGTTATTAGTTGATAAGTTCTTGGGGGAGTCAAAACTTATATGTGGATTTTTGACTGTGTAGGGGATCGGCACCCCAGTCCTTGTGTTGTTCAAGGATCAAGTGTATATCGATGTGAAGAGAGACGTATGCTTGGTATATATTGGTTTGGCAATCATCAGTGTGTTGGTCTTAGAATGTGGAACGCCATTATTGATCCTTCCTAAAGTAGTTTTAATGGCAAGGAAGGCACAGAAGCCTGATTTCGTACTTGAAGAGTGAAGGGAAATCTTCTACTTAGACATAGAAGACTGAGTTCATATATGTGTGTTTACTTCCTCTCAAACCCTTCTAAACTATTAGCAAAGAATTAAAACCTACAAGAAAAAGTGATGGGGAAAGGAGGGGAAAAGTAAGGTCTATGACATTTGGGAAGTGAAATGTAAGAGAAACATGGTGATCAGAGCATAGGAAGCTTGTAACTAACTGAAGAAGGAAGGTCCTGCAAGAAATAAACGTTTTACCTCTGGGCCCTGGAATTGGAGGCAACAAGAATCACTGAAACAAGGAAGAGGAAAGAAGGTTGAAATTCTGCAGCAGCAATTTGTCTTTCAGATTTCCTCCACAGCCAAGTGACAACTCCTCCTAAATCCTAATATAAAGCAGGAGGCTTACCTACTGGTAAGATTAAATCAGAAATATTCTAGACTTCAGGATATCAGACACAGTAGAGGGCCTGAAAACAAGGTAATTGATGAAAAATCTGGGTACCAAATAGAAAAGCCATCAACTCCTTCTTTACCCAGGATGCTATATCCAAGCTTTTAGTTCTCCAGACAGGAGCATAATAGATTCCTATTTAAAGGAAGACATGTGTATATGGGAATGAGGGGTATAGAATTAATTTCTAAATAGTGACATTTGAAGCTTGTTGAAAACATTCAGGTCCTACCCAATTATTCTAAGACCTGTGATCAAGTAAACTCTACCTAGTCACACAAACCTCACTCTCTACTCTTTAAGCCTCACTTTAACATACAAATTGCTAAGTATTCCAGGGAATTTGAGAAATTCCTTTAATGCAAGACAGAGGAAAATGGGAAAATCAGGAATAATCACTCAGAAAAACTGAAACATTCACAATACAGTTAGCAAAAGAAAAACTTTAAAAAGCAATAACTGATATGCTCAGAGGAAAAATAAAAGACACAGGAAAGATGAATAGGATGAAATTTAGAAAGAACATTTAGTGAACAAAAAGATTTTTAGATATGAAAACACGTGATTCTGGAAATTTAAAAAAAATGTAAGGATTAGAAATTAAAAGTGAGAAAAACATAGAAACAGCTAATAAGAAAACAAAGGAGAATCATAATAGGCAAGAAAATTGAGAAAAGTAAACCAAGTAGTCTAGAATTCTAATTTATACAATAAATGTTTATTGAGCATTGTTATGTGTCTTGCATTGTTCTAGGTACTAAGGATATCACAGCAGAATAAAATAAAATCCTATGCTCAGGAGTTCCGATGAGACAGAATTGAGAAAATGTAAGTGAAATAATGAGGAGTGAAATAATGCCAAAAGATAAAACAAGCCTCTCTGAATTACTGTTTCCAGATGAAAAGTGCCCATTGAATGGGATGGTATAGTGCTTCCCCCCCACCCACCCAGAAAAAAGAAGACAAAAAGGCACAAAATCATGACATTTTAAAATACTTGGGATAAAGAGAAAATCTTAATAGCTCACAAGTAAAGGGCACATTTGAAGGTGAATATTCTTAATAGAAGTACCAGAAACTAGAATAAAAACATAACAATGACTCAAATACTCAAAAGGAAAATGATTGCCAACCTAGAATTTGTATTCAGCTAATTTCTGAATGACATAAGGATTACAAAACAAAGAAAAATAAAAGTATTTCAGAAAACACACGGCCTCAAAATTCTTCCACTCATATCATTTGTGGTTCATCAAACTAAGAATAAATCAAGAATGAAGATAGCATGAGATTCAGAAATTGGAGGATTCAATGCAGAAAGGAAACAAAGGTAATCCCAGAACAATGAAGTTGAAGAAAAGGATAACACCTGAATACCAGTCCCACACAGCAGCCAGTCCTAAGTTTTGGAGGAGGAGGGAGGGTTCCAGGGGAAGGTCTTTCAGAGAAAAAAGTTACAATAATGGATTATCCTATATGTTCTATTGTAGAGAGTTATAGAAGAATTAATGACAAGAACATAGAAAATTGTACAGTTTTCTTGAAGAGGTACTCAGTTATACAAAAAAAAAGTTGCACAAGAAAGTAAATGATTTTATGATACAATATGTAACCCAGCAGGAAACATATTTACCTAGTTAGTATAACATAAACACTGAATGTTAATTACTACCAAAATTGTGATTGGCAAATTCTAGCCAGGGTGTAAAACTAAGACTAAGAGAGAGAGAGGGGAATCTTCATCTTCCATGTAGGAATTCAAGAGATTGTTGAACTTTTAATGGGAAACAGCATGGATATCATTTATCAACTTGAGAAAAATTCAAGAAGACACAGATAAAAGAGTTAAAATGGTTGCCTTTCAGGAATGAAACCTGCTGGTGACACGGAGTAGTGCAGTTCTTATTAAAAATCTTTACAAAATTATTCAACCTTTAAAATGTTTATGTGTAAAATTTTCAATATAAAATTATATTTTAATTAAAAAATAGTGGGTAGGTGCTAAAGAAATGGAGATTGCAAATGTAGTACAATTGCAGCAAGACTTGAGTTACCAGGGGCAGAGGAAAGAGAATTGAGGAACTGTTACTACATTTAGCATTGAGGGGAAGGACAGTTTTTGTATAGGAGGAGCTTGGAGCTTGAATAGGTTTATAGGCTACAGAGAACGAGTCAGTAGAAAGGAACAGTTTGAAAACAAGGAAAAAAAACACCTTACAAGATAAAGCATGGATTGATTGGAATCACTGGAAAAGGCTGAGGTTGCTCCTAATTTATGTTCTTTTTCTTCATAAAGGATTCCTAGTGCCTTTTCCTCCTCAAATTTAATGGCCTCCTCAGTAGCCCATGTGCAGAAGTTATGAAGTGGGGCTGTTTATCTGTTGGTGAGAGTTTTCAGAGAAAGATCATGGTGTTGGGTTGCTGACTTGTGATGAATAAGACCAGACGAGGAGGGACTTAAGAAGGGCAGTAGACATTACTGAACTTAGAAGAATTTGATACACACAGGGAAAATTCCTATAGAGAGGGAGATTTGAAGAGAGGCTCTTCTCACTGCTTTATAAAGTGCTTCCGTGGGTGGGTGATTCAAGCTACAGGACCTCAGCAGTGCATATGAACTGCTTAATTTTTTTGTGAAACACTCCCCAAAACAGATAAAATTAAATACTTCCTGTATACATTTATTACATGTAGGTTTGGTAATCATTGCTAACATTTACTGAGAGGTTGTTGCTGACCCTAATTTAATTGCTAAATATGGATTATCTCATCTGAGCCTCACTACAACCCTGTGGGGCACAAATTGTTTTCATTCCCATTTTGCAAATGATAAAAATGAGGCACATATAGTTTAGTTGGCAAAGGTCACTGAGCAAGTGAGCAGTGAAGCTGATATTTGCACCTAAGTAGCCTGACTACTAAGCCTGTGTAGATTATTCATTATCCTATGTCTGCAGTAACTGCACTGTAGATGAAGGAATAGCTAATGCACATGGCATTTGTTGAAAAACCAGAGGAATTGAGAGTAGCTAAGTAGGGCTGGAGCATAGATGTATGATGCACATTTAAAGAGTACATGTGGGGAACTGGTGGAGGAAGAGTGTGAAGACAAGAGAAACTGGTTCATGAAAAGCCTTGTCATAGTGAAGACCTCTGGGTTTTAGCCTGATAGCTAAAAGAAGCCATTGAAGGATTTTAACTTGGAAAATAATATGATTGATTTTTTTTCAGAAAGCACCTTCTTGCAATATTATAGAAAATTAATTGGAAATATCAGAGGAGGGGATATAGCAATGAGAACATTTATGAGACTGGCATTGGTTGAGGCAAAGTGTGCCAGTGGGCACAGAGAGGAGGGAACAAATCTGAGAGGCAATAAGGAGGTACATTTAATAAGATTTAGTGAAAGATTGGAATAGGGCATGAAGAGTATTTGTGGCTTGGGTAATTAGATGAAAAACCATTTATCAATATGAGAAAAACAGGAAGAAGAGCATTTGGGAGATAAGAAAAATACGAATATACTTTGAGGTAGATTTTATTTGTGTGATCTGGAGAAATAAAAATATTCACTAGGTACTTGGTTTAAAGTCAGAGAAAGAGAGAGAGAGAATGTGTATGACCTTTATTGATCTGGCTTTGGGTTTCACCATATAAATCACCTGTATAAATTGGACATGGTTGCAACCATCTCAGAGAGATAAAGCAATGTTCCAGAACATCGTCTGTGATCACTTGACAAATGTAAGCTAAATGTTGAAGCAGAATGTGGTTATGATTTCAGGGAAAAAGTTACACTTAAATGGTGGCTAGAAACAAAGACCACAGAGAAGATTGAAGAGGGGCCAGATTTCTGAGGGAAACCAACAAAGCATGGCTTCATGAAAGCAAAGGATACTGTGAGTAGTTTCAAGGAGAAAGTGATCAAATTTCACTAATAGACCACTCAACTGTTTGATAATTAGCAAGCCCTAATTGACTTGGTTTAGATTTTTTTTTTTTTTTGAAGAGGTTGATTTAAAAGCTTGTTTTCAGTTTTCTAAATAAATGAGAGGTAAGGGAGTAAACTCAATTTGTGGAGAAACTAGATATTTAAGATGTTAGGAGACAAAATCAGGAAAGGTAAGTCAAGATTTTTGTTTGTTTGTTTCAGGATCAGAGAGACTTAAGGGAAATAATTAGAAAAGAGAGACAAAAAGAGAAGACCCTGAATAAAAAAGAAATAGGGGAGGAACATTTCAATAGGATAGCATCCAGAGTACAGACTGAGCCATTTGAAGTGAGAATATCATTGTTCACTTATGCTATGAGGATAAAAGTACAGGTTGGTGCCAAAAATCCAGCAATCCATCAACTTTATGAACTCTACTTCTGTTATATTCTATTTTCGATGAACCAGTCATTTCTTTTTTTTCTCTCAATTCTTGTTTTATTCATGGTCTTTTTCATGTGCACACTTTTAAATCTTTATGACAACTGTGAAGTTGAAATCACAGGCCTTGCCTGTTTGTCTTTCTAATTTCCAGTTTCTGTGTGTATGTTAGCCACATGAAAATCTTTGAAGAAAATTCTGCAGATAGCTCAAACTATGCATCATTAATACCTGGTCTAGAATGAAACTAAATTTTGAAGCATTGGCTGATGACCCTTATAGAAGTCAGACAAATCAAAACAACTGAGTTTAAGGTTTTAAATGTGCGTATTGTGTTGTAATTTTACAGCCTGAGCAGATGATCTACAACCTGGCCTCAAAGATCTGCATGCAATAAATTGCAAGATGGACCTTATTTATTTATTTATTTTTTTAAACTTCCAAATGTGGAAGGGATGAGTCAGCCTATCTGAGATTTTAAACTGCCAGTTCCAGGGACACTGCACAACTCCAAGCCATTGCTTCCAGCAAATTACTATTAAAAATATTTTCTGCTAGGCAGGACTGCCTAATGTGTGAACCTTGACCAGTTTCTTTTAAGTGAAAGTAAATATTAGAAAGCAAAAACAACAGAATTACTACTGAAGGGCAGGAGCAAGGTTATTTCCTTCATGTGGTTTTGAAAATCTGTTTGTTTTAATAGCCTTGATGTTTTACAAGAAGAGTCAGATATAATTCATTTTACCAAGGACAAGATGAAGTTGAATCAATTTTCTCTCTAAAAAACCTAATAATATGCAAATTGATATATAAATGTCAGTGAATATACTGTGGATAGGCACCTACAAGGTATTATGTTTGTACAGATATCAAGGACATGATATTGTTCACATAATTGCAAATATTTATATACAGTAGAATGAAAAGGATATTTAAAAATATAGGAAAGTATGAAAATTTTGACATGATATTTTAAAGTCTTCTAAGATACATGTTGAAAATGAGTGCACTGATCATTTATTTATATGTCATTTTAGTAATGAGAGTACTAGAAAATATTTGCCTCTGAGCATAAACATTTGGTTTAATGATTCTTAATTATAATTTGAACTGCAATACAAATGACTATGTGTAAAGAATATCATTAATGAATTAGTTAACATAAAGAGAAGTGTAGGTCACTGCTCACAGTAGGAGCTCAGAAATTGTTAGCTGGATTTGAACAACTTAAAAATAAGAAGAAAAAAGTTTTAAGCCCTCCTATAAACAAAAGATACTCCCTGACAGGAGCCCATTCTTTTTTAGTTTGATTAAAAGATCTTCCTAGGCTTTGGGGTAGTTGTTTTTCCTCCTTTAAATTTGTCAGTATTCCTTCAGTTTTCTCCATTATTAGATGTTATTTTATCACTATGATCAGAAAAAATGATTTTGGAAAGACATATTGTAAAATTTCACTTCCTTACATGGGATTTTACTTTAAAATTGGATTTTTCATGGAGCATAGAAATACCCATTGCGTGAATCTATCTACTGTTATATCTCCAAACACTTCCCTTGATAGAATGAATGGAATGCCATATACAATACATAAGTGCACAACATACCATGAGCTTAAAAATAAAACATATTTAGAAAGAACTACTAAAATTACAATATAATATTTTTAATGCTACCATTCATGGGCTTAGTCTACCTGCATCTTTCTGATGTCTGCATTTCCCCTCTGCTATCTGAAAACAGATTTTAAATTGCATTTACCAAACTCATTCACACTTCAGCTAACTTATATTGTCTTTCAGTGTATCTTTACTACACTTTGTAAAAACTTGTAAAAATATCTGTAATTGTTGACCACCATTACACACTTTGTGAGATATAGCCAAGTAAACATATTTTAGGCTATATGCATGAGAAGTTATTTCTTTAAAAACAACCTTATTTGTTCTGTCTTATCAAATACTCAGTCAAGTTCTATTAAACCAATTTTATTCTAGTGAAGGTCAGTGTATACACACACCTATATGGGGAATAGACACAAAAACCCTTCCAGAGCTAGAAGCAAACTGTTTCAGTTTTCTATTATTTCTTAACAAATACCTCAATACAGCATTTTCAAAACACAATCGTTTTATTTGCTCATGATTCTGCAACTTTGGCTGGGCTCAACTGAATGGTTCTTATGTCGGTCTTGCTGGTGGTAACTTATGTGATTGTACCAGTTGAAAGATTAACTAGGGATCTGGGATCAACTGGCCCTTGAGACAACAGGGCTTCTCTTTTTGCCCTGCCATGTAATTCCAAAGCCACTTCTTTCCATGTGGCCACTCCAAAGCGGGATAGATATATTTCTTACATGGTAATTTAGGGCTCACCGGAATGTAAAAATTTAGACTTGGAACTGGTTATGGTTAAAGTGAAGTGCAGATTCATGGGGAAAGAACTACACAAGGCCATGAATACTGGAAGCTGTGGTTCACTGGAGGATGCCTCCAGTGACACTAAGTTCAAGATAGAGTGTGTATTCTCACTGCCCTTATGGGGCACTACATGTCACCACAGGAATGTTGGTTATGCCCAACAAGGTGGATGAACCCATTGCATGAATTTAGATAAGTGAGTGAAATGGTCAGGTAGGTCTCTTGGGTAGCACTTGGAGAATGGATTTCAGAACAAGACTAGAGTCAATGAGACCAATTCAACAGTAGTGCCATAATTGAGATGAGAAATGATTTGAGCCTACATCTAGGTTACTATTTTCCCCATAAACTTTCCTTTGGCCTCCTAACTTGAAGAGGGTAAAGAAATAAGTATATAGGGGAAAAGAAAAATTTTGCGTAATTCTGTGGCTAGTAACACTATTCACTCAGATGAGGGAGGCAGAGGAAACACTTTTTAAAAAATATCTATTAAAGTTGATGTTTCTATTGGTGTTCAGGTATAAGTATGTAGGAGTCATATGGTTGTGTGGATTTGGATCAAGAGAAGGATCTAGGACACAGATGAAGACTGAAGGGTCATTAGTCTTTCAGGCTTTTGGAAATGCTGTACTCACCAAAAAAAATGCATAGAACAGTGTTTCTTAAAAAGGAAGGTGGCATGTATCAGGGTCCAGTAGGGAAAATTGCCAACTCTATGTTCTAATACTCTTCCAGGCCCCAGCATTGCAAGGGTAGGGTAGGAGGCAAGTATACTAGGAACAGGCTCCTAGGTGCTGCTTTACCTTTTTCTTCCAGGGGATATAGGTATTGACACAATTTTAAAAGCTCCCCAGGAGATTCTGCTGTACATCGAGGATTAAGAATCACTAAAGGAAAGTGAGGAGGGCGTAAGGGTGAACATTTCATCCAGAGCAACAAAAGTCAAAAGAGCAAGGCCAAACCCGATATTGTAATATTTAGATGGCAACTACAACTATTTTAAAAAAAAATCTGTCACAGATTAAAGGACAAATTTTGTATATATAATTTCTGTTAAGGTCCCATAGCCATTCATTGGGTTTTTCAACAATTGGTCTACCTTCCACCATGTAAGAATTCAACAGCCACTGTTTTTCTAGAGACGTGTGTTTTCAGTTTTTCACATTGGTCTAGTGATGGAATATGATCATATCCTGGAGTGGTTCAAATATACTTTTTTGTGCTTCTCTAGTTTCCTTTTTGGTGACAATTTTACCATTTTTCAATCATGCAGCATTTCCTGTGCTTGCTCTTTTCTCTTTTCCTCCCTTGACATCCTACCCCATCCTTCTGAATTTGTGCATCCTTCAAGAATATTTCCTGTCTTCAAGTCATTTTCCTCCTCAGGTTTCTAGATGTCTACTTTAACTTTAGCTTCTTTCTGTTTGTTTAATAGCGAATCACTTACCATATACATCCAATTCAGGTCTAACTGGATTCTGTATGGCAAGTTAAATTTAAAAGGATAATGGCAGAATTCTTTATTGGGTTTTTAAGATTGCTCCTAATATCCATCCATCTAGTCATCTCTTTTTACTTCACAGATTTAATCAATCAGTTAGTGGAGTGAAAACGCCGAATCCTATGGATTTCTCCTCAACCTCTCTGTGCTTCAGTTCTTCATCTGTAAAATGGAGACAATTTCAGCATCTTCTTCATAGGGTTATAGGAGACACTAGATGTAAAGCTCATACAACAATAGCAGCCAGTTAGTGAGTGTTCAATAAATATTAGTTATTATCATGACTTCTTAATTATAACTCACCTTCTTCTAAAGTTTAAGTCACTTTTCTAAATAAATTGACCAGTGTATAATTAACAGAAGGAAGTATGCAAGCCCATACACTCATACACACACACACACACACACACACACACACACACACACGTTGATTTGAGTGATGATTACACAGGCATATACATTTTGTATACTCACAATTTATGTATTTTCTATATGGAAATAATACTTCAATAAATTACTTGGGAAAAAATGTAATTAGAGGCAGAATAAGAGAGTCGTTAAGACTACAGGTTCTGGAACTAGACTTCTGTTCAATACTGGCTCTGGCACTAACTAGTTGTGTGATTTGAGGCAGGAATTAGCCTTCGTTATCCCAATTTCCACAGTAGTTAAACCTGGATAAAAGTATGTATCTCAAAGAGTTGTTGTGAGGATTAAAAGATATAATTTAAAATACTGCCTACTACATCTTATATAGTATATAAATGTCAGCTATTGTTTTATCATTCTGTATCCTGATAAACTGCAATATTAGTTTGACGAATGTATCAATGCTTTAAAAAAGATAGTATATATTTTCTTAAAATAAAGACATTATACATTTCTAGGCTATGTATCCTTTTCTGTGTATATCCCATATCTATACTTAGTTAGTATGTTTCTTCATGAACAGAATAAGATTTATAGCTTTTTGTTACTTCTGTGTATCTCTAGCATTTAATCTGATGCCACTTTTAATAAGAGCAAAGTTAGCATTCATTGACTCTGACTGAACATTAAGGTCATATCAGATAACAAGAAAACACTTTTTATTAGAAAAACTAATTAAATTGAATATTCACAACTACTAGTGAAAATTGTGTGTTACTGATTTAAATCACATTGACCCAAAGCATAATGATTCCTTTAGCAGCAAATTTTAAAATTTTATGAAAATAAGTTTGTGAGAAGTAAACAGATTTTATTGTAACCTCAACTATTCTACTCAACTCTTCAGATCCCAGAAAATTATAGTAATACTAAATTGGAATAATGTCAGATGATGGAAAATTCAGATCCACATGGATAATTGTCTCATAAGTAGAGAGTGGCTATGATTCTGGAGCTTTAAACATTCAAATCTAAAAGACAAATGTCCCAGGGTTTTATAATGACTCACGCAGTAACTTTTTCACTATAAATTTACATTATTTAAATTGAATTTTAATACAAAGTGCGAAATACGATTTAACAGTTATTTATGTGAATTAGAATAATTTCTTCAGTGCTTTAAAAGAAAATGTACAAGCTTTGATATTCTTCAATTAAGTTATCAAATAACAATGTTGGCAATTCTTTCCTTTTTAATATTAGCTGTAAAATAAAGGGTAAAAGAATGCCACTTTACTTCCGGTTTTGGAACTGAGAACTGAACATGACCATTATACCCTTACCATTTATTATATGCCATTACTATTTCTTATGCATACCAACTACTTTTCAGTTCCTATACATGGAATGTGTGGAAATTTTCTTCTTTAATTTGACATTTCTATTGTGGGGTAAACTGGTGTGGAGTATTAAAATACTATAGAAACAGCCATCTAGAAAGTGATAAGATGATATGCAACAGAGATAAGGGCAATTTTAGACATCAAAAAGCTTTTCCTTGGCTATTGATTGAAGGAAACCTGATTTTGAAAAAAAAAAATATCCATAGGAAAAAATGTGTGATGTTTGTGTGGTGGTGGTGAGCCAGTTACTCCAGTACAAGTTATTTTTGAGACAGTATTGTAAACATTATTGGTCACAAAAAGAATAACAATGGAATTAGGGCTCATCAAACACTAATAAAGGTATGTTTCCTAGTAAAGGATGTATTTCACCCATGGTAGTGTAATGATAAATCCCATTTTCAGGTTAAGACTACATCTGGAGTGTTGAAACTTGGAGCCACTTTCTAAGAGGATAAATGGGAGGATAAGAAGTCTTTAACCATTTCTATTGAGGATAGGCTGCTGTAATTACCTTAGAAAACAGGAGGCTTACCAGGTGGCTATGAGAAGGCAGAAGTTGAACATTGGTTCTACCTGGGTGATGAATTAGAAGTAGAAAAAAATGAGAGGCAAAGACAGCTCCTAGAAGTGAAACCTCTTACACCGAGTATGGTGTAAGTTGCCCGCAAAGATGTGAGTTCCCAAACGCTGTGAGTACTTTATCAGAGGTTGGGTGGCTCCACACCAGGGACTAAGGATTCCTGCTTGGGAGAAAAGAGTAGAAGACTCTTGAGCAACTCTCTGATGGATAGTTTGTGGGGAAAGTATTCCTTGATATATTCTTTCTAACTAGGTATAAAGAATTGGAGCCACTATTTGTTGATTTTAGAAATACCAAAAAAAAAAAAGAACAGAAAAAAAAAAAAAAAGAAAATCCAATCCGCAAAGATAGAGGAGGAAGTGGGCAGAAGGATAAACAGAGAAAAAAGAGAATCCTTATAAAGTGTTAATCCCCTCACACATTTTTAAAAAAACTTATTCCCATCAGTTTATCCACTACATTTTATTATTATAAATATGATAGTCTGAGGATTGGTAGTTAGATTGTTACTAAGTTATTAATTTTACATACATTTTACATAAACACACACACATATCCTGGTCACACATACATTCATTTTTTGTGTGTGTGTGTTGTTTTCAGTGTTCTGTTTTTGTATTTGACTATATTGACAACAGTTAAACCAGTTCATTTAACTAGTTTTTAGTCTCACTGCCAGGATTCATTACTCAACCATATGGAGTGTGTTTTCCAATAGTTTGTTTGATAAATAGAAAATTTGCGTTATTGAAGATGTCTTTTCCTTGCCTTCATATTTGAATAAAAATGTGGCACAATATAAACAATTATTGTTTGTCCAATTATTTTTCCCTTAAAATTGTAGACACTGCTCAATATTTTCTTAGGAATGTAGTTTTACAAATGAGTGTGGTGACAAATTCATGTTGTTTTATCACTGATCACTAATTCCTTTTCCTGTCTTAATGTTTTTTGACATTAATTGATGCTTATACAAAAGAAAATCTAAGATGTCTATGGGTATATCATCTCATTTAATGAGAATCTTATTTAATTAGAATTGTATTTATTTAATTTATATTCCTTTAACATGACCACAATCTCTTTTAACCTCCATATACAGCTTCACGAAGTTTTCTTTGATTATTAGCATTTTCTTTAATTATTACTATTTACTCAATTAATATTCATAATATCATATTGCTTATTTTTATGGTTTCTTCACTAGTATACCAAAAAATATTTGATTAGTGATCCATTCTTCATCCTCTGTATGAGTTGTCTTATTGCATAATTCTTAGGTCTTTGCATTTTTTTCTGTTGACTTTGGGAGAGTTTTTCAAGTTTGATGTATATGTTAGGGTTTTATCCACAGGATAAGTTATGCTCCTTTTTCATCTGGTACAATTTCAGTTTCATTGCAATCCTTCCTCACTGAATTTATCTCAGCATATTGTCTTTGCTGGTGGCAATGTAAAATGGTGCAACATCTTTAGAGTTGATCCTTGAACAACACAGCTTTGAACTGTGCAGGTCCACTTATACACAGATTGTTTTGATAAATACATTGGAAATTTTTTGGAGATTTGTGACAATTTGAAAAAATTGCAGATGAACCACATAGATTAGAAATATCAAAAAATAAAGAAAGAGTTAGGGATGTCTTAAATATATAAAATATATGTAGATACTAGTCTATTTTATCATTTACTACCATAAAATACAAACAAATCTATTATAAACAGTTAAAATGTATCAAAACTTGTACATACAAACACAAATTGTACGTGGCACTATTAGGAATCCAGAGAAAAATAAACAAGTATAAACATGGAGTATTAAATTAAAGCTGCATAAAATTAACTGTAGTACATACTGTACTTCTGTAATAATTTTATAGTTACCTGCTGTTGCTATTGGGATTAGCTCAAATGTTACAAATATTTGCTTAAAACGTCATGTGACCCTGAGTCATTCATCTCTCCAGTAAATTACAAATAAAAAAAGGTAAAAAGTGATCTCTTATGGTTCTCATGTATTTATCATCATGTTTAGTGCAATACTGTAAATCTGAATAATACCATGGGACCCAAAGTGCCACTAGTGATGTTGGAATGCTCCCAAGAAGCAGAGAAAAGTTATACAAGAAAAAGTTGAATTACTTACTACTTACCATAGATTGAGATTTTTGCAGTTCGGGTGGCTTGCCATTTCAGATGGATGATTCATCTTGTAAACAGATGATATAAACTTACAGTATCAGTAAGTATAGTACTGTAAATGTCTTTTCCTTTCCTTGTGATTTATAATATTTTCTTTTCTGTAGCCATATGTAATGCATATAACATATGAAATATGTGTTAAGTGACAGTTTATATCATTGGTAAGTTTCTAGTCAACAGTAGGCTATTCTTAATTAATTTTTTGAGAAGTCAACAGTTACATGAGGATTTTCGACTGGGGGTTGGTATCCCTAAACTCCATGTTGTTCAAGAGTCAACTGCATAAGTTAAACATATACCTACATATGACACAGCAATTTACTCCTTGGTATTCACCCAAGGAGATATAAAACCATATGTCCACACAAAGAGTTGTACTCAAATATTCATAGATACATCATTCAGAATCTTCAGAAACTAGAAAGAGCATAAATGAATGTTCATTCATAAGTGAGTGGATGAACAATTTGTGATGTAGTCATAAAATGAAATACTATTCATAAATAAAAAGGAAAAAACTGCTGATATCCATAGCAAAATAGATCTGAGAAATATACTGAATGAAAGAAACAAGACACCAAAGAACACATCTATATGATTCCGTATTTATGATATGAAAGCTTATTAATAAGCTTATTAATTTCTTATTTATAAGATATGAAAATTTAGTAAGAAGCTTATTAATAACATATGCTTATTAATAACATAAGCTTATTAATAAGACATTACAGGTATCTACATGATGGAAAACAGTTGTCTAGTTCTAGTTTCTCAAGGCTTTGATTTTCTGAACAGGAAGTAGAGGGGTAAACTAGAAAATTCACGTTTTACAAACTTCTTTCAAGGAAATGACTTCCGTTTAATCAGTGGATGCATATATAGAACACTGAATGATTTTGCAACCAAATTTTAAGGAGCTTATAGAGTATCAAACCTCCTATAATGTTTTAGATAGGGTCTTTGCCATAGTTTTTATTGTGGTTTGAGTTTTTAAATTTTCATTGATTTAAATGATATGTTAATAAAAAGCTGTGGTAAGATGTGTCAGAAAACTAATAACAATAATGTTAAGTGTATGTATGTGTTTTATTTTAAAATCAGAAGTCGTAGTGAACTTTTTTTGAAGATGAGCTTTTTAAAAAGAGTACAGTGGTCCTAAAATACATCATAACAATGTCATTTGATACTAGATAACTCTACCTTTCTATGTAATATTTGCATTTCAAAGGGTAAGCCATCACCTTATCTGTGTGTCTCATTTTGGACAGTGAGGTGCTGCTACATAGTGTGATAAGGAACACTAATGTAGCCTCATGTTATCTTAAAAATTAACAATCTAGAATGTAAGTGTTGTCTTTTGGTTTAAACCTAAGGGTTGCAGTACTTTTTGCTGGTTTTAATATCTGAGTATCAAATTAGTCATTAGTGAATTAGGAACACTAATGTTGCCTCATGTTATCTTAAAAATTAACAATCTAGAATGTAAGAGTTGTCTTTTGGTTTAAACCTAAGGGTTGCAGTAATTTTTGCTGGGTTTAATAGCTGAGTATCAAATTAGTCATTAAAACCAATACTTTGTTAATGGTAAGTATTGTATCATTCATTCTGCATGCAACTGAGGTTTTCTCTTGTCATCTTATACATAGCAGTTTGGACCACTTAGCCAGGTGGCATTCATTGGTTCTTGTAAAAACTGGGAATATTTGAGTCAGTTTGGTGACTGAAAGAGACAATGATGAAGGAGCAAAGACCAATTGATAGGACAGATTGCCTAGGGGAAGACTGGGGGTAAGCCCATGAACACAGATAAAACATATTGCCTTAGAAAATGTGGTTGCGTGTAAGGATGCATGGATATGAAGATAACCAGATATTCAGGTGGAGAGAAAGGAGATGGTAAGATGTCATGCCTGGGACGATAATCTCTGGAAATTAAGAAGCAGGACCATCTGCTTCATAAATACTTCTTGATGAGTTGAAGTCATCTTGGGAGGGAAGGAAAACTGAGGACAGTTTATGACAGTAAGAGAGCTTGCGGTCAATTGTGGTGAAGAATGCCATAAGGAGTCAATTAGGGCTGAATCAAAGGCTTGTGAGCAATGGTGAGGTCTCAGTGAGGTTACATGTGTATTGTGAATCAATCAGCATGACTTTGTAACCCTTTTGGTAATCCTTGACAGAGAAGGACAAAGAACAATACACTTCCAAAATAAATGGAATAACAGTGAACTCTCAAGTGCATAGGAGACCAGGGATTTCTCTGGGTAAATGGCACAGGGGTCAAGAAGGCTCAGCTATAAAAACTTAGACTAGAAATCCAGGCAGACCCACAAAATTGGTTAAAGACTAAGGTAAAAAAATAGGAACATGTCTATCCTATAATCCAGTAGTAAATGATGGTAACCTGATGCGCAGTCAGCAAGCTGATAATAATAACTGTATTAAAAGACCAGTCAAAAGAAAAAAAAAAGTCTCTAGTCTCTAATGGTTTCTACCATTGGCTGTTGGCTACTCTGAGCTGTGTACTTTACCTACATCAGGAGTTGGCAAACATTTTCTCACAGGGATAGATAGTAAATATGTTTGGCTTAGCAAACCATATGTTCTCTGTCACAATTATTCAACTGTACTCTGTGAAAACAGCCTTAGACAATACACAAATATATTAACATGAAAACCACAGGTGGTTTCCTAGAAACACTAGTGGGAAATCCCCATCAGAAGTCAACATAGACAAGCTGCACTTGTTTGGTATAAGCAGTGATGAGGGCATTGTAAAAATGGGTTTCCTGGCCTACGGGGATGTTAAGGAACTGTTTTCAATCTATCTACAAGTACATCTATATGTGTGTATATATGTATGTGTATATATATTACATCACCAACACTGTGTTGAGCCCTATGAGAATTATGTAGAAATTAAATAATCTCTGTCTTCTGAGAAATGTCATTCTATTTGGAGGAAGAGATGGAGAAAGGAGGATTGAGGGAATGGAAGTAATTATAAAATTCTATATATTTGAACAGTGGATTTACTGATAAAAAGTGACACAATGACTTTGAATATAGAAGGGTAGTACATTAGGAAGGAATATTTCTCTGCCTT